GGCGGGAAACGGGGTTCATTCTATGACACAACACTGTGGCTGTGTGCACCAAGGTATTTTACACCCCAAATAACAAAAACAACAAAACTCACCTTGGCGAATGATTTCCATGCACATCAGAATGGCATCCTCCTTGTCTCCTCTAGCGTAGTGGATGTTAGCCTCTCCCATGAGTCCTCTGAGAGCCCGTGGCAACTTACTGCGGCGACACCTCTCCTAAAAAATAATGAAGCTAGCATGCTTAGAAATAAACTGGAAATTTGATCAATACTACAAAATCATCATGACCAGTAATAGTGATTATTAATGCCTATAGGTGTTAAAGCAAAAAAATAAAAATAAATTACTAGCATAGTTCCTAACTTATTAAACAAAATATAATGAATTAATTCAATTTTAACTAATTGTTATATATACACTTTTTTTGTAAACATTTTATTTATTAACTTTAACATTTTTTTTATACATTTCAAGGAATAATAATCTTAATGAAACTAAAAATAAAACAAACTGATTAATTAATCATATAAACCTCCATGTATTAAAATGATTCATAAGTCAATTGTAGAATATTAATCATAACAATAATAATTGTATGCATCAAGTGTGCATTTTGGCATGTATACAGTATATATGAACAGGGCCTAAAATTAACACTCGCCAAACGCCAAATGCGAGTAAAAATCGGCTTTGGCGAGTATATGAAACTGTGTCAGTCGCCAGATGGCCGGTAACATTTTTATAAATTCTAACAGTGCAATGTTGTGAGAACATAAACGTGCACAAAAGTGAACAACGCTCAGTACAGTTGACGGGTCAGTGCTGCTTCATCACAAAAGTGTAAGCCTTTGCTATGTAAATATTCAAGAGCTAGAACACATGAAAAGAGATGCGTTACTCGCGCCGAGTGGGAAGTTTAAACATCCGAAGCCCCGGCCTGAAAGCCGCGTCTTGAGCTCTGCTTCCTTCCTGCACTTGAACAGACAAATTCACACAAAATTATGTCAAAAATGCCCATCTCAGTGAGTATCCTAGTAAAGTAGTTGGTTCTTAAGTGAACACGAACAGCTGAGAAAGAAACCGGACACAAACCGCGCACGACACAATGTGTCACGAGACAATAGAACCCATTATAATCAGAACAACTGACTATTTACTAGTCTTTAAAAATGTAGCCTATTAAAATTTATATTGGTTAAGCTAGTAGTTTTAGCAGGTTTTCGAAACTGGAATCAAGGATTGTGATTTTTTGCTATTATCTAAAATATTGGTGTCATAACTGCCTGTTTTTTTTCCCCATGGCTGGTAAAAAATATTTCTGGCCGGTAAATTTCCTTAAGTCACCGGCCAATGGCAGGTCTGGCAAAAAGTTAGTTTTAGGCCCTGTATATGAACGTTATAGCAAAAAAAAAAAAAGGAGAGGATATTTCTTGTATTTCTTTATTCAGAAACTTAATCTATTACTAGAGTAGTTCCCAACTTCAAGCAAAACATAATAATAAAATCAATTACTCATTTTTGTAATTATTTAGATCAAAATGTTATATAAATATATATATATATATATATATATATATACAGAAAAATTTAAGGGGGTCTGAATACTTTCCGTACCCACTGTATATATATATTTTTTTATAAATTTTATTGTAATTGATTATTAATGCTGACCTAGCAGAGTGATCTACTGACCTTCATCATTTTCTTGTTCTCACGGTTCAGCTCCATTTCAAGGGCGAACACATCTCCGGGTGTGACATGATTTCTGCCATTGTCCTCTTCTTCTTCATCATCATAATCTTCGTTGTCGTCATCGTCATCATCTCCATCCTCCTCTCCAGTGTCTCTCCAATCCATCTTTCCATCTTCATCATTTTCACCCTCCTCCACACACTCCTCCAGTCCCTCTCCGATCATGGAGGCAAAAGCTTTCTGAACAGATGGACTGACTCCCTCTTCTGTCGTCTCTGTCAGAGATCACACAAAATACAACTTGTGATGTGATGTTGTGTGACGCTGAATATTGATTCCCACCTGCCTCATTCAAATGCCCTTGATACATTTGACATACGAGCAAGAATATGAAACTAAAACCTATCTGATCTAAAAGCAGACAGTCAACCAAGCAATTTAGGATTTTGGTATAAAAACATACACTACTGTTTAAAAGTTCAGGGTCTATAATTTTGTTTTTATGATTATTATTATTTTTTTTAGAAATACTTTTATTCAGCAAATCTGCATTAAACTGATCAAAAGCGATGGTGCAGATATTTATAATGTTACAAAAAGATTTAATTCAAATAAATGCTTGTCTTTTGAATTTCTATTCATCAAAGTATCCTGACAACAACAAAAAATCACAGTTCCCACAAAAATATTAAACAGCAGAACTGTGTTAATAATAAGAAATGTTTCTTGATCAGCAAATCAGCATATTATGATTGCTAAAGGATCACGTGACACTGAAGACTGGAGTAATGATGCTGAAAATTCAGCTTTGCCATCACAGGAATAAATTACATTTTCATTACTGAAATGATTAAATTACTGAATTTTCAACATAATTTTCAATATATTCAAACAGTAAACAGTTCCTTTAAATAGTAACAATTTCATAATGCTGTTCTTCTTTTTTCCCCCCCAAATAAATTCAGTCTTGGTGAGCGTAAGAGACTTCTTTCAAAACATTAAAAAATACCAACCCCAAACGTTTTAATGGTATGTCCAATTTAACACTGATTCAATAAACATGCCCACTATTCTGAAAATGTTCAGTTCTATTTGTTCTGTATGCCTTCTAGCATATGTTTAGACTACCCTTAATAAATGCTTTCTTATAATTAGTGTTTTTCAGCTCTTTGCCACACAAACCTCTTCTTCCTATAACACACATAAACCGAACACTGCACACACTTTCTCAACTGTATTATTAAATATATATAACATAATGATAATTTATATCATATGTATTCATTTTGCAATAAGGCAAAGTGTCTATTCCAATCTACAAGTATGCATATTATATTGAAATTTTTAAGGCAGATTTTTGGTTTCAAAATGCATGCAAAATTATCAAATATTTTATTTATTAAATTAATGTCTAATTTTGAGGGGATATTAACATGCTTTGTGGGCATCTTGTAATGTAGTAAATATTTGGCCGGATGCAAAGTTAGTAATCTATTTATTTACTTTTTTTCTTCAAGACTGTCCATAACTTCAACTCAGTTATATAAAAATGTAGATTAGTCTACTATGAATCCGTTAAGCAAAGCTGGTTACTAGTTCTGAAGACATTCAGAACTAGTAACATAAAGGTAGTGGCTATGCAACTAGCCCATTGTAATGCCAGTGAAACCTTGGTGAAGCTTCATTATAACGTTTTACCCTTTTCACCTGTAGTGTTGCTACTGGCAGGTACAAAAAGTACCCTGGTATTACTGCGTAATATCCACCTGTTTGGCGTTTCCGTGTTCCTCCAGCCTCCTGATCAGCAGATCCATCATCCTCCGACACATCTCTCTTCTCCTCCTGGAACACAACATGTGTTACATGCTACTCCATAACACTTCAACAATACCATGGTGCATTACTATAGGGCAGGGATCCTCAAATCTGGCCCACGAGATCCACTTTCCTGTAGAGTTTAGCTCTAACCCTAATCAAACACACCTGAGCATGCTAATCAATATCTACAGGATCATTAGAAAATCACAGGTAGGCGAGTTTGATCAGGGTTGGAGTTAAACTCTGCAGCGCATTGGCCCTCCAGGGCAAGATTTGAGGAACCCTGCTATAGGGCATATCCAAATAATGGGTTATTATATATCATTATAATAGATTGCATAATCAAACACATATTACAGGGATTTTTATATATACTGAATGGAGAACGTGGACCAAATGTACAAACGCAGTAAAAGCAGTGTAATATTACCTTATCCTTTGCTTTGCTTTCCTCTCTCCGCCTTTCAAAATCCTCGAAAGTAATCTTGCCTTCTAAATAATCATTCAATTCGGACATTGTACAAAAATAATCAAGTTGACTCTTTCATGTCACATACAGTATAAACAATACCGATGTACTGTATGAGCACTGTCTGTTTCTGCGCTTCTGCCTTTCAGCCAATCAGGGACCTCGAATTTTTCTTCCGACTGTGAGCGAAACACAACCACAGATGACGTTATTCCAAAAGATCCACATCGCCATCAAACGTCTCCAAGTTATACAGGGCAGTCCAGATTTATCGTGGTAAACCCTGGGGAAGATAATTAGATGCATTTTCCCACCAAAATATTTTTTTGAAATATTCGTAATAATTTACACACACACACACACACACACACACACACACACACACACACACACATATATATATATATATATATATATACCTTTATTTGACCCTCTAACTCTAACACTTTCTATTCTATTTTAATTCTACATTATCTATATTTATCTTTTTTTATTTGAAAAAAAAAACACAAGCTTTCCATTTTTTCTATTCTATCTACTTCTCTCTCTGTGTGTGTGTGTGTGTGTATGTATGTAAAGTTAATATATCTAAAAAAAAGGAATATATATATATATATATATATATAAACATTTATTTATGAGAATTCTGTATACACTGAATGCATATATATATACATATATATATATATACACATACACATACACACACACATACACATATGTATATATACCTATTTAGGTCAAAATGAACAAAATGAGAGCACAGGGGGGAAAAAACATTGAAAAAAGCCAAGTCAAAGTCAGTCTTTTTTATAATTATGAAAAAAAATCGCTTCATATTCATTCTTCCATTAGTTTCAGTTTGTTTTTCACATGGTGTTAGAGGAAAAATACATAACTATACAATATTGATATTATATATCAACAAATATGTATCCTGTATCTATCTCTGAGTAAGATCAAAATGTCCTTCAAGCATGAAGGAAAACGGAATGCTACAGAACTGCACCCTTAGGAACAGTTATGAAATTCACTCTGCTTTTGGACTGTTGTTCGGTATTTCCTGTGTTCCAGTGGGTTCCTGTACAGGAAATATGAGCTTCTGTAGCATCTCAATCGTTTCTTCCTCAGTTTTAGAGTTGAGCTCAAGGACTGGAACCTAAACGGGTGAAACATATGAGGAATATTATTGAGAATGCAAAATTGAAAACCAGAGCTTGAATGGTTGGCTAAATCTCTCCAGTTGTTCATGACAAGCAGTCAATACTGTTATGATTACCATATTTACCATATATAGTATTTACATGGCACTCCAAGGTATTTCAAAGAACACCATAATATTACTATGATACATGATATAAAAACAGTGTCAACATATTAAAAACAACAATATTCATCAACAATACATAGCAAAAATATCAGGTTTCTGGTATCAGATATCAAGCATCAGGTTTTGGTGGGATTTAGTATATCAGAGGAATTAAAAAGAAATTTACCAAAACAGGTTTATAACCAAGTTTTTCAAGATGGCGAAGTTTGATAGCCAAGCTGGCTCGAGGATGTGTTGTACCAAAGCAGAATGAAGTGGGTGGGACGCAGAACACTGCAATCCTAAAATAAAAGACAGGGAAGAGCTGTTCAGTTTGTCTGCAGAACTACTTCAACATACAATCAGCATCTAGGTATGTGAGATCAGCATGCGATTCTTCATATAAGCATCACAGCTGTCTTATCTCGTGTCGTGTTTTACCTTTGAGCACATTCCTCTGCCTCGAGGCCACCGGTTTCTTCTGTTTGATGAGGCAGAGTAATCACACAGTCTAAAGCAAAGACAAGACAAAGTTTCAAACGACACGTGCACACAAGTTATTCAACATGAAATGCAACAACATATTTAAAAACCATAATGACATGTTTCTGAGTAAAATAAATTATTCAGTGGGAAATGTATGGAGGGATTTGATTGTGAGGTAAGCTATATTAACTTGTTAATTGTCATAATCATTTTAATATTATGTAATTAATATATAATATACATTAAAAACCAACTGACTTGCCTTTCTATGATTCTAGTATTTGTTAGTTATTATATAATTATATTTATTATCATCATTATCGTTTATTTCTATTCTATTTAGCTTTATCAACATACTTATTTTATTCTATTCAAACATATATTGTTTTATTCTAAATGATTTTTCTTATTTTTGTTGCTTGTACTTTGTGTCAATAACTTGTTTACGCTTGTAAAGTACTTTTTATTGCATTGGACATCTTAATGATGCTAAAAAGCTTAATTTTTTAATTATGCAAAATATAAGTTCTGGTTTTCAACCTTTTGATTTTGGGGTAAATTTGACTTGGACACGGTTTCTTGAGATATATTTTTTTATTTTTTGTCCATCACTTGCATCATTTGAATTTATTTGAACGGTGCTATAAGTTTTATTGCTTGTTTAATATAATATTTTTAAATATTAAATTATCAAGACTGGAGTAATGATGCTGAAAATTCAGCTTGGTCATCACAGGAATACATTTCATTAAAAATATATATATAAATTTAAATTGTAATAATATTACAGTTTTAACTGTGTTTTGATCAAATAAATTTAGCCTTGGTGAGCATAAGACATTCAAAAACATTAAAAATCTTACCAACTCCAAACTTTTGAATTTTTTATTATGCAAATTATAATTTCTTGTTTTTAACCTTTCAATTTTGGAGAATTTTTTACCCGGACATTTTTTCTTGATATTTATTTTGTGTCAATCACTTGTAAAGCACTATAAATTGCATTGGATTTGTTTGAAAGGTGCTATATAAATAAAGTCTGGTTGTCTGATTAATATAATATTAAATATAATAATAATAATAAATTCACCAATGAAATAAATGCTCTGCTCCAGCACACTGTCCTGAACAGCATCAGTTCCCACAATGCTCCTGACTGCACTGAGCACTTCCTGGTTGACTTTGACCTCATGAGCAGGAACTGTGATGTGGAGGTCTGGCACTGAGGTCAGGGAGGGCGGCAGCTGAGGTTTATCCAGTCGCAAACACAGATCCAATGTGTGCAGCCACCTCTGAATCTTATCCGACTGTTTGTCTATGAAGACAGGAACAGATCACGGCTGAAATGTGATGTTTTCTGGATGAAGATAGAGACGAGGTGAAGACACTAACCTTTCTGTAGTAGCTGGTCCAGGGTGTCCTTCTGTAGCAGTTTCTCCAGTGGGGTTCGGGGGAAGTGCTCCAGCAATCCCAGATAGTAGACGGCTTTCAGGAGGTCGGTGGGAGGCATCTTTGGAAGGTAGGACTCCAAGACCATCGTTACACTGGCCAGAAACCTAATTAAAAAGCAGCAAGTATAAATTTAAATATTCAAAATATAGCACAACTGTTTTCAACATTGGTAATGATAAGAAATGTTTTTTGAGCAGCAAATCAGCATATTAGAATGATTTCTGAAGGATCATGTGATACTAAAGACTGAAGTAATGATGCTGAAAATTCAGCTTTTTATGACAGAAATAAATTACATTTTAAAAAACTATTAGAATATAAAACAGTTACTTTAAATTGTAATAACATTTCACAATATTACTATTTTTACTGTATTTTAGATCAAATAAATGCATCCCTGGCAATCATTAAAGTGTTTCTTAAAATTCTTGTCAGCCCCTAACTTTTGCACAACAGTAATTAAGATTCAGAACAGTGGCTTACTCAGTTTTTTTCTCTTTCAGGTCATGATTAAGGAGCGAAAAGATTTTTAAAACAGAAAGAAGGTCTTTCAGGGTCAAACTGTTGGATCTTTGGATGATTCTCTCTGCAAATGCATCCAACAGGACCACAGGTCTGAACGAGAGATTCTCAAATGTTACTAGAAGAAGAATCACCTGAAAAACATGACAAAGAATTTAATAAAGGATACAAAACAATACTGCACAGTTCACCAATTCTTATTATGTAATTCATCATTGGCCACTAATAATAAACATACCTCTCTGCTCTGACACTGTAATATTAAAAGGTAGGAATGCACCAATATATTCTGACCAAAGATAGCACATAATTTAACACATAATGCTGTTTTCCACTGTAATATATTTAAAAAATTTCATTTATTCATGTAATGGCAAAGCTGATTGGTAAAGCATCAATAATCAGTCCTCTGTGTCACATGATCCTTCAAAAATCATTCCAATATTTATATTAGAGTGTTGATATTGAGTTGTTGCTCAAGAAATATTTCTTATTAATATCAATGTTGAAAACAGTTGTGTTGCTTAATATATTTGTAGAAACTGTGATACATTTTTTTCAGGATCTTTTGTAACATTATAAATGTCTTTATTGTCCCTTTTTCAGGATCTTTTGTAACATTATAAATGTCTTTATTGTCCCTTTTTCAGTGTACTTGCTGAATTAAAGATAAAAAATAAAAATATATACACACACACACATATATATATATATATATATATACACACTGTATAATATATATAATAATATATAAATTGATATATTATTGGGTCATATTGACCCAAAACTTGTATGCTGCTTTATCGGTTTAAAAATACAATTACTAAATGTATTAAGAGAAATCATACTGTATATTTCAAGTGAAATTAGGCATAAAAAAAAAGTCAAAAGTACAGCAAAAAAACATGGCCAATTGTTTGGTCATTTAATAACCTGGCACAGAAAAATTATTCACTATTTTAATTGCATAAATAAGGTCTAACACTACATTTATACATCTTTGAAAGAAAATGAGTGGTGGTTGACTGACTCACTGTCACATAAAATATTGTGAATCCCTCTTTAAATGTAAAGTACATTTTCACTGGATCAGTTTAATTGTAGACTTAGATCAGCAGATATCGTACCTGTTTGTTGGACCACATATCAAATGTGTTGGCCACGTACTCCGAGATCGAGCTGAAGAGGGTGTAGTTCCTGTAGCGAAGCTCATTGCAGGACTTCAGTACCGACAGAAGTCTACCGAAGGGAAATTCATGCACGTTTTCTACAGGATGCAATGAGAGGTAAAGTGACAGTGATGGATTCACTCATTCGAGCCGTTTACTGTAGTTCTGGGAACATCTCAGAGGATCATGGTCATGCTCACCAGCTATCTTCTTGCTGCAGACATCCAGCAGAGGTTTGAAATTCAGGCCCACAGCAGCCAGGCTGGAGAACATATACTGGGTGTTGGGTGGGCTAAACTCATCTGCCAATGACAGAGCTTTTGTCTGAGGGAGAATAAAGAGGAAATGAATTAGAAACTGTTCATGATAATCCACTACTCTATTCTGACATCAGTATATGAGGATTTATTTTACAAAAGCCTTGAAGGGTGTGTGTGTATATATATATATATATATATATATAGTAAAATAAACAATTATATTTTGCATAAAGAAAATGAAGGAACATTAAGTGGCTTTGGACTGTGAAATTATCTTCTTGCAAAAAAAAATCAAAATCAAAGAAAATCAAATAAATATATATATATATATATTCTGCTTTATAGTGATGAGAGTCTAATGTGAAACAATACTGGAAATAAAAAAGCACTAAATAATATATAAATTGATATATTATTGGGTCATATTGACCCAAAACTTGTATGCTGCTTTATCGGTTTAAAAATACAATTACTAAATGTATTAAGAGAAATCATACTGTATATTTCAAGTGAAATTAGGCATAAAAAAAAAGTCAAAAGTACAGCAAAAAAACATGGCCAATTGTTTGGTCATTTAATAACCTGGCACAGAAAAATTATTCACTATTTTAATTGCATAAATAAGGTCTAACACTACATTTATACATCTTTGAAAGAAAATGAGTGGTGGTTGACTGACTCACTGTCACATAAAATATTGTGAATCCCTCTTTAAATGTAAAGTACATTTTCACTGGATCAGTTTAATTGTAGACTTAGATCAGCAGATATCGTACCTGTTTGTTGGACCACATATCAAATGTGTTGGCCACGTACTCCGAGATCGAGCTGAAGAGGGTGTAGTTCCTGTAGCGAAGCTCATTGCAGGACTTCAGTACCGACAGAAGTCTACCGAAGGGAAATTCATGCACGTTTTCTACAGGATGCAATGAGAGGTAAAGTGACAGTGATGGATTCACTCATTCGAGCCGTTTACTGTAGTTCTGGGAACATCTCAGAGGATCATGGTCATGCTCACCAGCTATCTTCTTGCTGCAGACATCCAGCAGAGGTTTGAAATTCAGGCCCACAGCAGCCAGGCTGGAGAACATATACTGGGTGTTGGGTGGGCTAAACTCATCTGCCAATGACAGAGCTTTTGTCTGAGGGAGAATAAAGAGGAAATGAATTAGAAACTGTTCATGATAATCCACTACTCTATTCTGACATCAGTATATGAGGATTTATTTTACAAAAGCCTTGAAGGGTGTGTGTGTATATATATATATATATATATAGTAAAATAAACAATTATATTTTGCATAAAGAAAATGAAGGAACATTAAGTGGCTTTGGACTGTGAAATTATCTTCTTGCAAAAAAAAATCAAAATCAAAGAAAATCAAATAAATATATATATATATATATTCTGCTTTATAGTGATGAGAGTCTAATGTGAAACAATACTGGAAATAAAAAAGCACTAATAAGAATAAAATAATTAAAAAAAAGACTCGAGAATGTGCACAGTTGTCAGGAAAATTAAGTCACATCTTAATTATGCTAAAAAGCTTAGTTTTTCATTTGAAAAATATAATTTCTTGTTTTCATCCTATTGATTTTGGAGTAAATTTGACCTGGACATGTTTTCATGAGATTTAAACAGAAAATTAACAGAGAAGCCATCAAATTCTACATTCAATACATTTTAGGTAATATACATAATGGATAAATTGTAATCTAACCGCCAACTGTTTTTTCAGAAGTATCGGAGAGTTTTTTCCCACTGCGCGCATCATGCTCTGCAGGACAACCATGCTCTGGATCTCAGGAATACGATCCTTCAGCAACAACCTTCCAAAATCAGAACACAAACTGATGAAACACACACACAGATGTAACATTACACATTCGTGTTAGGGCTGCAATGATCATCACACCTCAAAGCCTCTGTGAGGGCCTGAACGTTCCTACTGTTCTCCATCTCCCGAATACAGGAAGCCAGCACCGAAAGAGACCTTATATCAAACTGATTCAGCCGCTCCTGGAAGGGCAAACAGAAAACAGGGTCAGTTCAGTAAATACTTCATAAACACATTAACATAAATAAGATCCAATGAATAAAAGTACAAATATTAAAAATACTCTTCTATTAGAAGAAAGAATGAGTTGAAAATGGATACTCTTAAGCATATACTAAAAGCACACACAAAAAAAATATAATTTATGATTTAAAATATAAATATACACAGGTGCATCTCAATAAATTAGAATGCCGTGGAAAAGTTCATTTATTTCAGTAATTCAACTCACAAAACTTGTCATAAATGTCAAAACTCAGTCAATTCCTTGTGAAGTTCACTCAAATTATTGAATCGATTTTGCTTGACAATCCTCATAAGGCAGCGGTTCTCTCGGTTGGTTGTGCATCTTTTTCTTCCACACTTTTTCCTTCCACTCAACTTTCTGTTAACATGCTTGGATACAGCACTCTGTGAACAGCCAGCTTCTTTGGCAATGAATGTTTGTGGCTTACCCTCCTTGTGAAGGGTGTCAATGATTGTCTTCTGGACAACTGTCAGATCAGCAGTCTTCCTCATGATTGTGTAGCCTAGTGAACCAAACTGAGAGACCATTTTTAAGGCTCAGGAAACCTTTGCAGGTGTTTTGAGTTGATCATCTGATTGGCATGTCACCATATTCTAATTTGTTGAGATAGTGAATTGGTGGGTTTTTGTTAAATGTGAGCCAAAATCATCACAATTAAAAGAACCAAAGACTTAAACTACTTCAGTCTGTGTGCATTGAATTTATTTAATACACGAGTTTCACAATTTGAGTTGAATTACTCAAATAAATGAACTTTTCCACGACATTCTAATTTATTGAGATGCACCTGTAAGTATACTTATTTATATACTATGCAAAATAAATATTATATATAAATATATATACACAAAAACTACCTGTCAAAAGTAATAATTAAGATTTTTTTAATGTTTTCAAAAGAAGTTATTTATGCTGAAGAAAAAAAAATTCTATTGCAACAGATAATGCGTCACATGATCCTTCAGAAATCATTCTAATAGGTTGATTTAAACATATTTGAACATTTCTTATTATTATCAATGATGAAAACTTTGATAATAATAAGAGTTGTGATGCCATTTTTAGTGGAAACCGTGATACATTACCATTAAAATATTTGGCCTCGAAAGAAAGAAAGAAAAAAGAAAGATATGAATATTTCATTCAGCACAAATGCATTAAATTGGTCAAAAGTGACATAAAGGTGTTTATTATGTTACAAAAGATTTCTATTTCCAGTTTTTTTTTTTTACATTTTCTATTCATCAAATATACTGAGGGGAAAAAAATCACAGTTTAAAAAACTGTTTTCAACATTGACAAAAATAAGAACCAATATTAACTGAGCACCAGTAATAATTTATAATAAGTAGCAAATCAGCACATAACCTAACTTTTGACCGGTTGTGTGTGTGTGTGTGTGTGCCTACTTAACCATATTTTGGGGACAAATTTGTACCCAAAAGTGAGCAAACCTGACAAAATTCCCCCAAAAAACTCAATTTGGGGACGTCCTCATTTGTAAAACTGGTATAAAAATAAAGTAAACAAAGTTTTTTTGAAATTGTAAAAATGCAGAACGTTTTCTGTGAGGGGTAGGAGTGGGTTTAGGTTAAAAAGTGTATAACTATCTGTATATAAAAACAATAGAAGTCTATGTAATGTCCCCATTTAGATAGCTAAGTAAACGTGTGCGTGTGTGTGTGTGTGTGTATTCCTAAATCCATTGATACAATCAAATATGAATTTAAATATTATGCAGCTATTACAGCTATTACCATGATTGTGACAGCCTAGAAGACAAAAAACTCCAATGTGATCACATTCACTGGCCTTCACTTACCTGCATCACACGCAGCAGCGTCTGCACAAGACGTGTGTTTTGTGGAACTCCCAGGTTGACGACAGCCAGCAGACTGTAAGCCAGATCATCGCTCCTCATGCGCCAGGCGTCAGTCATGGCCCGTTCACAGACCTCCTCAAACACCGGGTGTTCAAACATCAGCTGCAGCTCACAGCGCCGCTGCTCGTCCGTCATCCTCTTTGAGCTCTCCCACATGCGTGAGAAGATGCTGCTGGGGTGCTGCTGCGATGCGGGGAACTGCTTCAACATGTCCAGCACATCAGTGGGGCACAAACAGTTCTGCAAATGTGTGTAGAAAGGAGCCTTTTCTGCTTTATCTGGCAGTTCATTGGTCTCTGTAGAGGCAGCAGTTTGTTTAATCTGAACCTCTTCACCACTCTGACAGTAATAGCGGGCTTGTTTTAAAGTGTGTCCTTGTGTGCTTTTTCTCCCCAACTGAGATGACACCGCAAAGCTTCGGCTTTTATAACATAGAGACGTCTGTGTCCATATAAAAGAGTCACACTTCCAAAGTGACGTAGATCTCAGAGCACACCTGAGCATGTCCAAACCTGATTTATACATGCTCATGTTATCATCACAAAGGCACAAGGTGATTCTTCAAAACTGCAACAACTGAAAAAGTAAAACAGAATCCACTGTACTTAATACAGGTTGTGTTGCTACTGTAAAACCATCATTAAAAAACCTGTAGTAGTTATGGTGTTTTGGTTGAAACTGATCTTACTGTTCACTCATTTTATATGCTCTAATTTTCTGCCATTGTATCCGACAGGGTCACAGGTTGGACGGATGATCTTGAAATGTTACTAGAATCAGAATAAATTCAAATTCAATATTCAATCATATTGAAAATAAACAAAATAATATAGTTTGTTAATATGTTGAATAATACATAAGGACTTTCACAATACACTTTTCATATACTGAAAAATATGTGGCATTTTTACTTTTATATTGTAATGAATGTAATTTCATATTCAGTAACACAACTTAATAATATTTAGATGTACATGTGATAAAATATGGTACAGTGTGTGTATATAAATATATTTGAACATACTATATATGCGCACATTTATATGGAAACATGAATGTGCAATATATAGCCCATTACACAAAATTATGATGAAAATACATATTGTGTGTGTGTGTGTCTGTGTATGTATGTATATATATATATAAAATACAAATTCATTATATCTTTTCATATATGTCCCCATGTATTTTAATGTGATTACACACAATACATTTTTAACCAAAACAGACAAAAAGGTTGAATTTGGCTATAATAATTATTTCATATGCATTATATTAATTATTATATTAAGACATATAATAATTATAACATACATTTTAACGTAAAGTGGACAGCAGCTTTGTGCTGCTTACAGTACCCTCCATAAGTACTGGAACAGTAATGACAAAATTGCTTTGTCTGCTGTGGAGCCAAAACATCTGCAAATATTATTAAAAGATGAATATGAGACAAAACTACAGAATGTTCCTTTTTAGTATTAGCTGTTTTAACACATACATGTTTTACCAAATAAAAAGGACAGCACTTTTAGAGTTGCATTCCCTAATCTGATGTGAGCATATGTATTGGAAGAGGTGAACTTAAAGCAAATGTAGACGTTTAAAAGCTAATATTTAGTTAACTTACACCAGACTCTTGGTTTCATCCATTGAAATGCTTTTCTCGCATAGGAGATGAATCTGATCTTCTTAGTTGGTAAAACATCTATGTGTTGAATCACCCAATAATAAAAAGGGACATTCTGTAGTTTTGTCTCATATTCATCTTTTAATCATATTTGCAGATGTCTTGACTCCACAGCAAACAAAGCAATTGTGTCATTACTGTTCCAGTACTTATGGAGGGCACTGTATATTCCCTTCATGCCCTTGTAAGCAAACCCTGAAGAAATGCCGCACTACAGCAGTAAACCCGCACAGTATTTACATGATTGTTATTTTAATGATCTCGTAATGATCATAATGGAAGGATCTTACCCACCATTCGTTGTCTTCACATGTTTACAGCTCTCACTATGAGCGCAGCCATGACAGAAACCAGAAACAGCGAGCGCACGATTACAGAATCACAATAGTTCCGCTTGTAATATCGCGTGGTTTTCATAATGTTGTTTTTAAAATGCCATATAAATAGTTAAATAAACCCCTATATAACTAGTTTAATTCATATTATATATGTAAAATATTATTTTTGGAAAATTAATAAAAATACAGACGAAAGCGAAACACGAAATGTTTCCTCTCACGAGCATTTTATGCGGAACACGCACTGTTACCTAGCAACGCCGGACGCACTTGGGAATGGAAAAACATGGCAAAGTTTGTTCTTGCGGGTATCTATCTATCTATCTATCTATCTATCTATCTATCTATCTATCTATCTATCTATCTGTCTATCTGTCTATCTGTCTGTCTGTCTGTCTATCTATGCTGTATTATAATGTTATCTTCTACAGTATTTAGATATTTGTAGTCAATCATGTCACAGTCAACATAATTTTAATGCGATATTATTCTCTCTATTCATCAGGAAAAGCTGATTGTCCTTATTACGCAAAGGCTGAGCTTCTGGCTGATGTGCTGCAAAGAAAGCTGCCTGATTTTCACATTCACAAGATCTCTGTGCACCCCAGTGACTGGAAGGTAGGCTAAACCTGAAAAGTCCACGCGGAGCTTTAAAAGCTCTTTAATCATTTGCACACAATTCACAAGCTTTCATTTTTATGTTGAACTAAAGATGTGCTTGGTTCATTTATGTATTTTATTCATTCTGGAGTATGGTTTGTGTGTGTGCGTGGGGGGGGGGTGTACCTGGTCATGTGTGTGTGTGTATTTATCACGTTATGGGGACCAAATGTCCCCACAAGGATAGTAATACTAGTAAATTTTTACCTTGTGGGGACATTTTTGAGGTCCCCATGAGGAAACAAGCTTATAAATCATACAGAGTTAGTTTTTTTGAGAAAGTCATTTGTATAATAACATGGGTATGACAGGTATTACAACGAGAAGGTGATTTATGAGGACATTTTGAGTGTCCCCGTAATTCAAAAGGCTTATAAATAATTCAGAATGAGTTTTTTTGAAAATCTAAAAATGCAGAAAGTTTCCTGTGAGGGGTAGGTTTAGGGGTAGGGTTGGTGTAGGGCAATAGCACATACAGTTTGTACAGTATAAAAACCATTACGCCTATGGAGAGTCCCCATAAACCATAAAAACAAACCTGTGTGTGTGTGTGTGTGTGTGTAGAAATGGCTGGAGGACACCTGTTCATCAAATGGCTGGAAGCATTCAAGTTCTCCTATAGTATGGAGAGAGCTGATTGATCGTGGAGGGAAAGGCATGCTGCTCGGAGGCTTCAATGATTTCCTTGAGCATGCTCAGGTTTGCATACAGTAGGATACTAAAATAAAACAGAAGAATCCATTTGTACAAAAAGTAATCAATTACTTATTTTACCTACATAAAAATCATCTTTAGTAGAAGATATAGTCGATAACATACACATTTTATTCATTTATTTATCTTACTTTTACATTTTTCTCAATCACTTTGGCTCATTTTTTGAAAGCGTTTTAACAGTGAGTTTTACTAATTTGAGAATTGAGCCAAAGCAATTGAGAAAAACTGTAATAGGACTCTCTGGGTGATGTGCATTGATGTTTTGCAAAGAAGATGTGCCAGATTTCATTCCAGCTCTAAAATGACTTCTACTAATTAAGACTACAAAATAAAATGTAAAATTAGATTAAGCCCCTCTGTTTTAGCTCATAGTGACCGAATCCGCTATTATATATAATAATTACATACTGATAAAAAATGTATAGCCTGAATGCACTGTAAGTCGCTTTGGATAAAAGCGTCTGCTAAATGCATACATTTAAAATGCATACATTTATTATATTAATTCAGAACCTGATCAGTGACATCACCCAGAGACCAATGCAACATGTGGGGTTTAATTTAGATATTGCACGTTAAGATTACTTTTGTCCTCTCCTGCAGGGCTACTATGGCATCACTTCAGATATGAACTCTGATCTGATGATACAAATTGCAGCAGATAATCAACAAACTAGAGAACTGTGTATGGAGGAGGAAATCCATCGACAAAGATCTATCAGACCTCTGCACATCTGGATCAGCAGGTGGACATGTTTTATCAGGATCTTTTGTCTCAGTATTTTCTTATTCCTCAGATGCACAATTTAACCTGAGAAACCCCTCTTTCAGTGCTCTGAGCCCCATCTGCTACAGCCTCATTCCTCAGTTGTTCACCCTGGAACTGTTTCCAGGTCTCCCCACCTTCAGCCTTCACCTCATGGATGCTGGCGGCTCTGAGGAAATACTACAAGGACTCAAAATGGAAACAGAAGACCTTGCCCTACATCAGCTCCACGAGGTCACTGTCCATTCAGACCAGACACAGGCATTTCAGGAAGCCCACTTTATCATTTTTCTGGATGACCTGCAGCCTATATGTGAAAGTAATGATGAGCAGGATGACAAGGACCACATGGTGAGCCGGGTAGCAGAACGTTTTCGTTGCTATGGGCAACTTATAGAGGCGAATGCACAGAAAGACGTAAGAGTGATAGTGGCTGGAGACTCCTTTGTTAATCTGAAGTCCTCGCTGTTAATTGAGAACGCACCCTCTGTTAACCCGCACAACTTTGTGGCGATGGCAACACAACTAGAGTATGAGGCGAAAACTCATCTTGCACAGAAGTTGTTGGTGAAAACAGCAGGTATAGTAGCTTTTTTAAGTGTCGGTGCAAATATTTGTTCTAATATTCAATTGCAACAAAAGAAACAATATTTTTTTTACATGCACAAGCTCATGAATTTTATTTTGGAAAATATACATTGATATATGGTATAAATCTATTACTTTTAATCAATCATTTATTATTAAAATAACAAAAATTTGTTTTATTTATCTACTGTCTTTTGTTGTTCATGTTGAAATTTTCCCTTTTTATTATATTCACAGACATCACTAAGGTCATTGTATGGGGAAACATCAGTGGCATTTACCATATTGACCTACAGAGGGCGAAGGTTTTCAGATATGATGGTGCAATTTGGGGACCAGATGGCTTTTCTCAGCAAGTCTTGGAAATTATTTATGATTGGTAAATATCATTGTGGTGCATGACTCAAGCCATGTGGCTCTTTCATGCAATTCCATTTATGAATCATTATAAAGGGTATAATTTTATCAGTAAGTAAACAAAAAAAATCTACATACACGACATAACATGGTTAAAGTAAATAGGCATCTTCAGTTGCATCACACATGCATGTTCCTTACATATCATAAATAGTCTAAATAGTTGTTTTATTGGTCACTCGTGTAATTATGCATGTTTTATTTTATAAGGAAATGGCTGGAGACAGATTTGATGAGTTTAGTACATAAACACCATACCGCAATTTCGTCAAAAACAAAAAACGCCACAGCAATATCAACAACCAATGGAATAATGACCATTTTAAGGGCCTGGAATAATGATGCATCTCCGGAGGATGTCTTCTCGTTGGGTGTAATTAGTACAGGCAAGACCATTGGAATCATCCTCAAACATCAAATAAATATGGCTGTATATTTTATAGTTAATTTATAATGTATGTAAATGCATGATCAGCATGACCGGCCTTTGTAAATCTGCAGGGCAGTTTGGGATTCCAGCAGGTTTGGTGTTTTCTATGCCTGTGAGCTTCAGGAATGGTCACTGGTCAGTGCGCTCAGATGTTACTGTTACAGATGAGTTGAGGCTAAAACTTGATGCTTGTGCTGATGAACTTAGTAAGGTGAGTACATGAAGTAAAAAAAAAAAATGTGTTAAATGCCAATGTATTGTTTGGTCAATATACAAACCTTTTTTTAAACAATCATAAAACGTCTGAGATGCTCCAAGTTTAGCAAACTTTAACAAAATTGCTTGTAGCGCCTTTAATTAACAAATTCTTCTTGGTAGCACAGTCACAGTCACTTTAATGAGAACACATTGGTTAATCAATGTTGTTTTATGTATTCATTTGCTTTAGGAGAGAGACATTGCTGCTAGAATATTGAAGAAGGACGCATAACGGCTCTCCAAAAGTAGACTTCAGTGACTCACTCCTTCAGTAACATGACAAATCATTATTATAATAAGAAAACTTTTTTTTATATAGCTATATGGGTTAGTTAGAATCTGAATGCCTCAAATGACAAGTGTGATGACCTTGGCATATAAAAATGTTCAGCTCAATTCTTGAGAGACTCTTTGCTGTTATGCTTCAATTCAAGTCATGCCGTTTTACTGAATGTGGGCATAATGGATGGGTATGTACACAACACTTGACACATTTCTTTTGTTCATCTTTTTGTTAAATGTAAACATATGAGGCCTTCAAGTCAGAAATGTTGAAAATCACTGGATCAGAGGAAGAGATTTTAACTTAATTTCTATGGTTTCAGTGGTGTTTACCTGTGCAAACCTTCCCACTGGAATAAAAAAATTGGTAAAAACAGAAAAGGTACTGGTAATTTTCTAATTTGTTGTTTACGGTGTTATAAAACAAACCCAAAAATCTCTTGCTCTGGATGACCAAAAACCTGAAAGGAATCTTCTAAATGCACCATGAAAGCAACTTGCTTAAAAAAAAAATAGCATCCGGTGAGAACACTTACATGACATTTTCTCTTAATACCGTAGACCTCTGTAATGTTTCTGTTCTCAGAGATTTTTCATCCCCAATTATCGAGATTACAGTCACCAGCGCGACCATCTGCCTTGGCTTCTGCTGCCAGCTCATCATGCTCTTTCTTGCCTCAGTGCCCACCAATTCTGAATGTGGTAAAGAACATTACATATTGGATCCCTAAATGACACCAGAGGGTGTAAAGATGTGCTCACACCAATGACGATAACTATAACGATAAAGATTTAATAATCGTTCTAAGTCTATGAGAATAGGGAAGTTCACACCACAACCATAATGATAACGACACAGAGGAACTAATTTGTTGGAATCACTTTCAAAGCGGGGTTTTT